CCACCTGTCACCGTGGTATTTTGATTTAGTGGGTCACAGTATAGTATATAAGACAGTGTTACAGCTGCTTTAATCTGATGTGTGGTGACCCTTTGTGGAATTGTTTTTATTCTTGTGTCATTTATTATTTTTGGAATGTAATAAAACCCTTATGAGAGACATGAACGTGAGACGGGAAACATGGGTACGAGGGAGACGCAAAATATATGTTTATTTTTACTCCACACAAATATTTTTTTCCCATAATAGTTTGTGTGTTTATGTATATGTAAATTAGAAAGGGGAAAAGTGAGCATTGAGTAGAGGTATTGGACATAAGTTTCCCCTTACATGTACATGTACCTGGCGCTGTACTCTTAATATTACCTGGCGCATATATTAAGATTATATTTTCTTCATATATAACAATATATATTTTATCAGTAACAGTTACATGTTAAGATGGGATAAAGTAGAATTTCAATCACTCTCATTGATAGTATTGCATAAATTTCTATAATATACACTGTAATATTTCTTGATCTTGAGATATTTCCAAGATACCAACTGAGGATATTGACACACAAGACAACAACAACAACAACACACTTTAGGTTAGGTTAGGTCTCCATGTCGTGTACAGTCCCAGGTACACGAGATAATACCATTAGATCTGACATGTCGATACAGGTTAATGTTGAATGATTAAATGGACGTATGGATAGACACAGCTGATATCCTTGTACTGAATAGTCTCAACACCAAGTTTCTATTCTCAATTTCGCTTGTGTGTGTGTGTGTGTGTGTGTGTGTGTGTGTGTGCGTGTGTGTGTGTGTGTGGTTAAGTGACTTTCCCTTAAACAAAAGTCTAGTGCTATTGAGGAGCTTCAGGGATCTAGAATAAGCTTAATAAAAAAGTCGGGTTTTTTTATATTCTCTATTGAATTTGTTCGGTGAAGCATCGCCGGCCGGGAGGAGACAGCCATTGTTGTCGCGCTAAAAACTAATCCTCTTCCGTGATCCTCTTGAAGGTTTTGTTCAAGAAACTTATACCTACACCCTCTTGTTTAACATACGTGTGTGCTTGTTAACTATGGAAACCAGGACATAAATAAACACAGCCATGTATATCCTAAGCTGGGGAGGCGCCTGACAGCCTTAACCATACTCTAAACCAGGAAATTAAGTGGGTTTTAGTAGTGTGATATTTACATTTACGTTTAAGTTTATGTAATGTTACGCTCGATTATTATTTTTATATTTTCTGAAAAGTCGAGCTTTTTTACACGTAATTATTTGGAGTATGTCGCTCTGCTAAATGCACTAAATATTTTATATATGTTCGTGTCGTATATTATATGAATTTATTCTAAAAATGATTACAATTCGAGAAAATTTTTAATACTATGTTTTAACTAATATTTCCTGTTTTGTTGTTGAAAAATAAAGAATGTGTGAAATAGTGTGTCACGTCAACAAATTGAAGGGCCAGTGTTGTGTTGCATGCAATTTAGGAATTACTGCATATGTGACTATATTTTCTTATATGAACAAAATGAAAAGTTCAGATTTCTGATTCATACCAAGAAAGTATTATAAACCTGTGAGTATTAATTACTATATAAACACTGCGTTCATATACATTCATTTTATATGCGAATATATTCCCTTCCGTACACATTTGCGTTAGAATATATTCGTGGAAAAAAAAAAAAAAAAAAAAAAAAAAAAAAAAATATATATATATATATATATATATATATATATATATATATATATATATATATATATATATATATATATATATATATATATATATATATATATATATATATATATATATATATATATATATATATATATATATATATATATATATATATATATATAAATAAAGGTTGAACTAGTACGACATTCTCTTTCAAATATTTAATGGTCATAATCTGAACTTTCCTCGTTAGATCTTTCCCTGCCCGGTGAACCTATGACTCAAGGCAATAGTTCAGGACGAGGGAAAACAACAGCTATAATGTCGTTAAAATGAGACCGAGATTCTATTGTACCCTTAATTTTTTCTTTGTAATATCTAGTCTTTAAAGTATTTTGTTTATCTATGAGAACAGCCTTGTGAATGTATGAAATCATTCATATGTATGTATGAAGACGTTCCTTTGTATGTATATAAAACATCATCTTTGTGTATGTATATGTAATATGTTTTCCTTAGCGGCATCTCATATACGGATGAGTTATTCCATACGCGTGCAAGACCCAGACCCACGTGCTTGTAAATGTCAGGTATGTGTACATAAATTTGTTCTATGTATACAGGACCATGTACGTTAGTCCGATCCAAGTGTACATACCTGTACAGCACAACCATGCGAACCTAAGTAAGATCCAAGTGTACTATACGTACATCAGGGTCATGTGTGCTTATGACTGTGTACATAAGAGCCATGTGTACGTAAGAACGATCCAAATGTACGTACATCAGGACTATATGTGCGTGAGAATCTGTGTGCGTAAGAGCCATGTGTGCATGAGCCTCTGCACGTAAGCAAAACCCATGTGTACGTACTTAAGATCCAAGTGTACGTACATCAGGGCCATGTGTGCGTAAGAGTCTGTGTGTGTAAATAGGAGGCATGTGTGTTTGTTCTACACAGGTCCCCAGCTAGCAGAATTTTGTGAATTTCCTTCAAGTTTCCTTATCTCTGATGGACGTCACAGGCAGGTGGCAGTGTGGGAGGATGATGTGGTAGGAGGGAAGAGAGGAAGGGAAAGAAAGGAAAAGAAAGAGGGAAGAGGAGGAGAGATTAAGAAAGAGAGAGGAGGGAGAAAGAAAGGGGGAAGGAGAAAGGAAAGGATGATAAGGGAAGAGGAAGGAAGAGGGAAGGGAACAAGAGGAGAAATTAATAGGGATGAAGAGGAAAGAGGAATGAGAGGAAAGGGAGGGGTGAGGGAGGAGAGGAGGGGAGAGGAAGAGTGAGGTGAGAGGAAAGAGGAAGGGAGAGGAAAAATAAAAATATGAGAGGAGGAATGTGGAGGGGATAGAAAGGGGAGAAATGAAGAGATGCCTAGTGAGGAGGAGAAGCGAGGTAAGATGAGGATAAGAAATATAGAAGAAGAGAACAGAGAGGAAATATAAGGGAAGAACGGGCAAAGAGTGGAGTAAAAAAAAAAGGAAAAGTAGAGGAATTAACAGGATACAGAATAAGGGAGGAAAGAAGGAAGATGGGAGGAAGAGCAAGTGTAGGGAAGAGGTAAGAGACTAATGACACGGGAGAGGGGGGAGGAAGGTATAGTCCCCTTCACAAGTACGTTTACAGGGGCTCGTCAGGTTTTATACAGTGTGGCAACGCTGTGTGTGTTTACATTCGACAGAAGAAAACTCTCAAAATTGAACAAAACTATGGAGTTAAATTCAAACAATATTAAAACAAATATCTCAAAGATATGTGGAATGCTTATATGACGAGCCCCTGTAAAAACACTTGTGAAGGGGACTGTACATCATTATCCACATACAGTAAAAGAAGAAAATACAACTCATACTCTGTGACATCGAGATAGGTTTCAACTCCTTGGTATCATAGTCCTGTCATAATCTACAGTCAACCAATCCCCTTCATTAAACAAACTAGGATAGCATTAGGCGACCTTGAAGCTCCACCGCAGGATAATTCATTTACTGTAACACAATCACTGTTTCCATCGTAAAAGCTTTTAACAAGCATTCACCAACGTACGAAGCTCCACCATCAAAGACACACACAATGCTCCCCAAAGTCATTCCTTGTTTATTTTGTTTTGTGTCGTCTCTTAAAAGCAATAAACGCAACACGGCATTTTCGTTTCATCATCCGAAACTCTTATATTTGTAATGTAATTCCTCTAATACCATGAGGCCAGTGAACACTTTCTTGGTTTTCTGTGAAACTTTTTTTGTATGTATTATTTTTACAATATTAGCGCAAAAATGATTGAAAAAGTTACTCCTCTCGTTGTCTAAGGCAATAAAGGCGACACAACTTCTTTTTCTTACACCGAGGAATTTTCTCTCCACAACCCAAATGCAAAAGTGATTCAGCAACACTTTTTTCTTTCTCTTATTTTATATTTTATTGTCTGAAACAGTGATAAGACTGTACATCCTCTCTTGAATTAATAAACACAAAAACTACACGCAAGTTCCTACCTATTCTAACTGTATTTTATAACTGTTTTTTATAAAGGACAAATTCTTCCTTTTACACATTAATCAATTATATCCCTGTTATGTGTGTTCACGTGTTCATTTTATGTTTAAATTTACTCAGAGTTAAAAAGAAATTTGTATTAAAAGAACACGGTTTCCAGGCCCATTTTTACTCACAACAGAAGAAAACATTATGTGGTATTAAAACTGGATTGTTTTAAAATATAAATACACAAATGTTGCTTAAAAATTATGTATATAATAATGGTTGCATCTCGTGTTCAAGGATGGCCGCCCCTGTGGCTAACTAGGCGTGAATTTCTTAAGGTGTAAAACCTGTCGCAAGCACAACACACACACACACACACACACACACACACAAATATAAATAAATATATATATATATATATATATATATATATATATATATATATATATATATATATATATATATATATATATATATATATAAAGGAAACTTTTTGTTTCATGTAACAACTTAATGGGAAAAATTAATTACGTCTGGTACAATTTTTGTTTAATTTAAGGCCTTGTTTACCATCAAAAGAGAGACAAATTATACCGTAAATGTTACTAAGCCTATCTTAATCTTATCTGACCTAATCTAACCCCAGCTAACCTACTCAAGGTAAATTTGCCTGTCTTTTGATGGTAAACGACGTCTTGTATGAAACAAATCTTTTTCCAGGCATGTAGAAATGCGCGCGCACACACACACACACACACACACACACACACACACACACACACACACAGTCAAAATATTACTGCCGATATAAACCTGGTGAAGCATACTCACTGAAGCAGCAGCAGAGGAGCAGCCACAGCAACAGACGTTTCCAGCAGTAGGTCATCCTGCTCACCATCCTCCTATAATAAGGAGTTGGCGAGGATAAGGTGTGAGGATGCTCTGGAGGATGTGGCGTCGATCTTTCACGAGTTTGGCCGTAGGTTCGTTGTTCTGGCGAGGATTATAAAAACAATGGCGAAGATGATGAGGAGAAGGAGGAGGATAGAGCTACGTTGAATGATAGAGAGTACTTTGGCGAGGCTGAAGGATGGATGTTGTTTTAGGGGAAGGTCGAGTACTGTACTGATATTTTGGCGTTGATGGCGTGTGTCGATGTTGTAAGAAAATATATTGATGGAGAGTTCCTGCGGTTTTGTTTTAAGAAGGTCACTAGAGGGTGCTAGGTAGAGGTTCCCAACACTTGACAAAGTTCTGACGAGGGAGGTGAAGACATTACACAAGAGACTGATGAAGTTGTGGTTGGGAGATGTTCCTATACCTGGTGCTGTACTCAAGGACTTGTGATAGACGGATCCTGGCTCACACTTTCACTTTCTGTAGGTGTCTTTGCTCAGTACATACACCTGAATGTAACACTAACTATATAGATTCTCCTCTGGTGTTTTCTATCACTAAGACTTGTTCCACACAATGGTTACACCTGCACACCTGAGAAATCTATATTTTTCTTTAGTATTTTTATCCGTATTTACAACAAGTCCAAGCGATTCATTGTTTTTAATTTGGTTATTTTATTCACTATATACACTAGCAGTCATTACTTATTTAAAGTCTTTTCTGTGGGATAGTTCATACAACAACTGCACCTTGATCCCAAAGTAAACAAGTATTATCTGTAGGTTGTTTTGTTCACCATCAACATCTGTAAATATAGATCAGAGATAAATTTCCCACAAACATATCAGAAAGATCGATCATCCTGTTAATTAGTGCATAAGGAGTCGACATGACTCTTAACAGAATTTAACTAAAATGGCTATGTCGAAATTTCGTAATAACTGACTGAATGTTCATCAGCTCTGACACAACTTTTTATGTTATTCGAATCAACTAATCCTGTTCGGCGTTGTGTAAACCTATACTATAATAAAACAAGGCAGCCACTTCCTCTTGTCGTAACTCATCTTTGAGCTTAAGTTATGATCTTTGGACACACATTTACATTTAACCTCCTATGTTTACTATATAGGTAAATTTATACCAGAGAAATCTCCAGATAGGGAAGAATATCAAATACCTCCACACCATCACACACACCACACACACGCACACGTACGCACACACACACACACACACACATATATATATATATATATATATATATATATATATATATATATATATATATATATATATATATATATATATATATATATATATATATATATATATATATATATATCCCAAAACTGATTAATGGAAGTTGGTATAAAAAAAGATAAATTTATGACATTTTTTTTTTATCTAAAGTGACGGTGGAACTCGAGTTTTCCTTCCGCCTTAACTTATGGGAGGGAAAAATTATACGTTTCCTGCATTATAATCAAAGGGGGACCTCCTGGTACGGCAAGCTGGGTGGTGGATGGTGAAGGTATGACATAGGCTGATGACAAAGGCTAAGAATATAAGGAGACTGAAATAAGGTTAATCTTAAATTGCAATCGCTACCACCACTACTATATCACCAATCTCCAGTATAACTATTATCACCACCATTACCACCATCGTCAACAATAATTACATCATCCGTTACCGCCATCACTATCACCACCACCTTATCATTCACATAAACCACCACCATTAGAACCACCATCACTATTATTACCACTTCCACTACCTCCAATACTACCACCATCACTATAATCACTTCCATCACAGTATTATGGTGATCAAACTTGTGTGAAATCGACCAAAAAGGAGGAACACAATACCCACTGAACCGGAAAATATCTCACAAGAGAAAAATTAATATAATTTAAAAGTTGAGAAAACAAAAGAAGAAAAATTAAATTAGAAAAAACTATTGAAAATAAATATAGTTAAAAGAGTGAATGTGAATGTGAAGGAATTTCGTGTGTGTGCGTGTGTGTGTGTGCGTGTGTGTGTGTGTGTGTGTGTGTGTACGTCAGCAAGGGAAATATATGAGAATATACATTACATGTTTTATTCCATTTTTGGTTGTTCTATATCATACACACACACACGCACATACACACACACACACAAACACACCTAACCCTCTTACATCAGCCAGTGTCATCATCAACACTAGTAGCGAATTTCAGTGACAAAAAGGTACAAACAGTAAATATTTGTACTGGCTCATACACGACCTCTCGCCTGGAGGAGCATGAGTAGGGGGCAGTGTCACACCACACCTACCTCACCATCCACCTAACCCCCCCCCCCTACGCTCCTTGAATAATACTCTGCAGTTTGTTGGTTTTCGAGATACTAAAATCCGAAGCTGAATTGTTACGCAGTCCTGTATATACGCATTTTTATAGTGTATGTTTACATTTTTTTTCTTCTCGTTTTATCCTTATTTCTAAACAGTTTGTCTACGATCAATTTTAAAGAGTATGGGTATATTGTTCAATCGTAAAAAGGTATAGTTTCCTGTTTCTATATAATATACTTAAAACTGTTATGTGAAAGTCAGACACGGGAGAGTTCTGTACACAACCTTATAAAAACTGTGGCTGCTTGTACACGGTTCTGTTGATTATAGTTCGTCTGACTCCAACACAACAGTGCCACCCGACAGTATGGAATATGGATATGTAATGCTGAATAAAATGCTATCTTAAGATTACCACAGTATGGTTATGTAATTCTGCGCAGTATAATCTCGTCATTGTATACAATATAGCTACTAAGTCTTACACAATGAAGCTATTAGGTTCTTCGTAATATGGCTATTATATTCTACACAATATGGCTACGTAATTCTACATAATGCGAGTGAAGAGTTCGTCGTCATATTTCTAAACAATTGTTTTCTATTTTTCATTTTTTTTTATTACTGTCAATGATTGTGTCTCATTTTACTATGAATATGTATATAAAGTAACGAGCCAAAAATATTATACTAAGTCAGTGCTATTTACTACTTACTGTACTGTATATACGCAAACACACGTATATACTCAAACATGTTTACACAAATTCCCCCAGACAAAAACACATACATATACATATACACAAAGATATACATGAACACACACACACTCACAATATACATACCCACATGAGTACATACACAAACATATGCTCCAATGCACACACGTCTTTCATTCCTTTTGAAGGCTTGATCTCAACATTACCATTATCCCAGAGGACACATTATGACAACCAGCTTCAGTGGGTGATTCCCTCAAAGATGTACTGTATATTTATATTCCCTCGTACCTTACACCTTTTTTCCCTCTCCATCTCTCTATTTTTCTTTTGCATTATAAACATTTCTAATTTGTGTGTTTATTTTAATATTTAGTCGTTAGTGTTATAATTAGATAAGTTAAGTTATAGTATTAATTCAATATTTAATATTTGTCTAATATTACTGCCATTGAAAGATTCTACCACTTTACTACTACTACTACTACTACTACTACTACTACTACTACCAGTACTTAATGGTATTCTTATTCTCGTACGTTATATTTAACTTAATCTCAACGCTCCTCCACACCACCTTGACTCCGGGATAATCGCCGTATTGATAAAATCTGCGGTGGTATTTTGCCAGGTTTCAGTTAGTTCAATACATTTCTATCCAGTAGAGTTTTATACGCAGATAAATTATGTGTTGGGATATTGTCCAGTAGGGAATTGTCCAAGAGAATTTTGTCCAATGTGTGTTTCCTGACTCAACAAGAAGAAGAAGCTTTCCTCTCCTGCCTTCCGTCAATCTCCTCCTCTACTTTTAACATAAACATCTAACACAACGAGGTGATGGTACCGTAAAGCTGCCAGCCAGAGTGTGCAAGGCGACCGCATTATGGGAAGGGATCGTGTCGTAGCATATGCTGAGGGAGGGATTAGATACGTTCACTTGTGATATATGTAGTTTGAGTACATGACTTGTGATGTGTATATGGAGGAGAAAGAGAGAGAGAGGTGGAAACAGATAGACAGACAGACAGACAAACAGAGACACAGACACACACACACACACACACATACACACGAGAGACAGACAGAGAGAGAGAGAGAGAGAGAGAGAGAGAGACCTCCAACATCAAGTAATCACAGGACAACGTTGACAGACTTGACGTGATTTAATTTAACAGTCTCTCTCTCTCTCTCTCTCTCTCTCCACCATCAATGTCTTTATACCATCCGGTAATCTTTCTTTCCCTGATTTCCTCTCACCTGAAGCTACTGCCGAATTTGACGCCATAGTACAATTTAATGACAGACAGACAAACAGACAGACACAGACAGACAGAGAGACAGAGAGAGGTAGTAAATAGTGAGAAAGAAGAGGAGAAAAAAAATGTGAGATAGTATTTAATTTACGGTCCTTCATAATACTCGCCTTCCTTTTTAAAGCACATGTCCCACCTCTTGACTCAACCTTCCTTTGTGAGTGTGCTGAACATACCCATCACGGCGTTATTAAGGTCTTTGTCGTTTCGAAGGTATTTTTAGATTTAGAAAATAGATAGAAATCACCAGGGTAACACATCAGGTGAGTACAGGTGATGGAGGTTCATTAATGTTATAATAATTTACATGAAAGGAACACACATTATTTTTATCTGGATTAATGAGTTATCTTGACTGTTTCAATCGATTCGTGTCCTAAGTTTTGTGTAGCGTAAGTAAGGTGTCGAGCTATTCATTGTTTGGATTTTTCATGGCGACATTTTGGGATGGAGCTGAGTGTCTGTGTGAGTCTGTGAGATTGTGGACGGGGTTGAGAATATTTCCTGCACGTTCGTTCGTCTTGTAGTGTTATACCGGAGTTGCTACACTACTTGCCGAATATAATGTACACCTCTGTCACTTCTCTGTCAATATCTTTCATGCAGTTGTTGCACATGAATAGCTCTATTAACATTCCTCAAGTCGATGATCAGAAATATTAGCAATATAGTCGCAATTTTTACTGTACAAATACTATATACTTTAGATATACGGGTATATATGAATTTCTGAGGCATACACATAAATATATTTACTCTCTCACTTAATATCAGTACAGTGTTTGGGCTGCAATATGTATCCGAGTCTAAGTCAATATGAACGCGATTACCTCACCGTCGGATTTGGTGATGCAGCTAAAAGTGATCCAATTAATTGCCCTAAACACATCGGTCAACATGTTTACTCTCAACGATGTTTATTATTTTCCTTATCCACATTTATGTCCCAAGAACTGGTGAAGGATGTTATATGTTCCTCTCCATCTGCAAAATAAAACAAATTTAGTCGTCAATAAGATTCTAGTTAAGTGTTCAAGGGAATATATAATAAATTGTGCTGAAAAGACACCTGCAAGATTTAGCTTTAGAAGAAAATATCAGGACCTGAGCTTTAACGTCTATAAACACAAAGGCTTAACAACACTACTGAGGAAGAGGTGAAATTCGAGGAAACGGAGAAATAAGAAGAAAACAAAAACAGTAGATAAAAGTAAGAAACAGAAAGATGGAAGAAGTGGAAAAATTAACAAAATAGCAACAACATTAAGAATAAGAACGGATGGACGCGAAGGAAAGAAAAAAATATTGAATTAGATAAAACCTGAAGACAAATTACAAGACTAAGGATAAAGAAGGACTGTTAGACCAGAGAACACTGAAGAAGGTGGCGACGCACTAGGGTGGTGCCTCCTTAACCTAACTTCGCCAG